GAAACCAACCTCTGGGCATTTCTGTGGGAGATGATCTCCATTACATTAATTCAGACGAGAGACCCGCCCTAACGGTGGGTGGTACCATTCTATGGACTGGGTTTCTGAACTGACTGAAACATACTGAGATGAGCACTAGGCACTTGTCACCTTCTGCCCCCTGACTGTGGATGCAATGACTAGTGATGCAAGCGCTGGACCACATCCTTGAATTGTAACACAAAGTAAACCACTTTCCCTTGAAATTGCCTTTGTCGGGGTATTTAATCACAGCCCCAGGAAACTCAGACACATATCAATAGTGACAGGAAGACAATGGTCTGGAAAAGTCACTCTGCCCAGGAGTCAGAGTTGGGGATATGGATTTTTTAAAAAAAAGATTTACTTAATTTTAGTTTAAGTTTATATGTATTTTTTCTGTATGTGTATTTGTGTCCCATGTGTGTATAGTGGCTGAAGAGGCAAGAAAAGGCATCAGATCCTCTGGAACTGGGATTCCAGATGTTTGTGAGCTGTCATGTGGTTGCTGGGAACCCAACTTCGGTCTTCTGCAAGAGCAACAAATGTTCTTAACCCTTAGCTGTCTCTCCAGCTCCAGGAATCTGATGTCATATCCATTCTGTTACTGATGGTTATGAGATCACATTCCAAAGTGTGTGTGTGTGTGTGTGTGTGTGAGAGAGAGAGGGGGGGGGGAGGAAGAAAGAGAAATTTGAGTAATTATCTTTTGTTCTCTGATTTTACAACTTGGATGTTCATTTATTCATTTATAAAATAAAGATAATAAAGCCCTTCTTACTTAATTCTAGTATTTTGGGACACAATTGGAACTTAATACACTATTGCACAGGTAAAGTTCCAGAAGACATAAAAGCACCAACCCATCACATCACTATGAGATTGGGCACATCAACTTCTGTACCTAATGTTTATTGGTAATCATCAAATGAGTGACTTTAGGTTTTCATCTGTGTTTGCTGCAAAATATTATTTTAGCTCACCATTGGTCAAAAACAAAACTACCTAGAGATAAAGCTGTATCCTTTGATTACCAGGCTTTTAAATATAAGATTTGTTGGCTGAATTAATGTTTAATGTTATAGTGCAAATGCATGTCCTCATTTAATCAAAAGCTCTACTCAGAGCTCGTTAATACAAGTTCAATGCATCATTTAAGAGGACATTTAACCTTGGCAAAAAGTAAGCTCAGAATTTTCATGAATGAATTAGCTAGTTCCTTCTACAGACAAGGAGCATGTGGTCATTTATTTGACATCTTGATGAAAATTCACTAACAGATGGAGACACTGGAGTGACTGAAGTTTGTGGAGCTGTCTGGGGAGGGCTTATGTTAGACATACTGGACAGTCGGGATACTGTTGTTACATCACCAATGGTTTGGGATAAGACATAGTGGTGCTGTGAGACTGAAGAGAACGTAACTGGATGGTTTGGGTGGATAGCAAGCCTCTTGGAAGGGGTCACAGGGAAAGAGCCCTTATGTATTAGTGGTACACTAGGGCTATTACAAGCATGGCAACCACTTTTTGATGCAGCATATTTATTGGGTATCTATTACATTTATGTTGGAATCACTTACAAAATCCACTGTCACTGTCTGCAGAATTAACAGTTATGCAGTGAACACAAGGTAATGTAAAGGAAAGCTAGTAACCACTCAGTTCCACTGTACTGGAGATGTGGTGAGGCCACACCTAGGAAATGCCACCTGAACATGCGTTTTGTCAGACACAGGCTGGGGGAGATTTTCTTATAAAGGTGTGAAACTGAGCTGGAACTTGGATGGGTAAGAATTTGGCAGATGGGAAAAACTAAATGAAAATGAATGATAAACCATATTGAAGGAATGTACAAAAAAGGGGCAGGGGTAAGAAAAAACAAGAAAGCATCAGTTTTTGAATTTACAATATAAAAACAAACACATGCCCAGTTCTTATCATACATGATACATAAAACAAAAACAAAATACAGAGGCTTCAATGAGATGGACAGCATGTGTATATTTTCCCCTTGGAGTCCCACTTGCCCCAGACCAGAAAGCTGCAAAGTGGCAGAGCAGTATGGAGCCAATGCTTTGTGACAACTGTCTCTTAATATTTTCCTCTATCTACAGTTCAAAGGTTCTGTTGAGATACAATGGTGGGGTCTTCATGCTGGATTAAGAAATATGTTTATGGGCGGGGTAAAGAGACGGTTCAGTGATTAGGATTACAGACTGCTCTTCCAGAGAACATGGATCCAAATCCCAGAACCCACATGGTGGTTCACAGCATCTGTATCTCCAGTTCCATGGGGCCGTATGTCCTCTTCAGATACCTACAGGTACTAAACACATGGTACACAGACATAACATGCAAGAAAAACACCAGTACACATAAAATAATAAAACATTTTTTAAGTAACTTGCTTATTCTGTAAGGAAAAGAAGTTGAAAACATACCTAACAGTGACAAGAGATGTAAACCACCAATAGACCATCGCAACTTTAACATTGGGCTATGCTCTCGAGTGGGTATTTTAAAAGATGGCTTTTGAGTGTCTGAATACTTAGACCCCCTGCAAGCATGGAATCATCAAACAGTCAATTGAAACAACATGTTTCCTTTCTGACAGGCACATCCTAGAAAATGTGGTTTGTCCTTGATGGAAATGCTTGCTGCAGACACCACAGTGAAGAAGGCAGGCAATTGGGAGCAGGTGGTGGGTTAGACTGCATTCCTGCTGCTCATTGAAGTGGATAGTGGATGGAGTAGATTTGAAGAAAGTGAACTGAAGTGCCTCACTGGAGTTTTCATGCCATCTTCCTTGTCATCATCAAATTAACTTGTACATGAGGCACATGTATTATGCCTCTGACATAGTCTAAGTGGTGGGCATTTGTGGGTTCACTGAATACTCACAGCCCAGAGAGATCCAGTAATTTACAGGCACCACTGGTCTATAGTAGTAAAGTTGGGATTTGCAGTAAGACTAGCCGCAGACTTGGCACCAAGAGATGAATTTTCTAGTGGTACAAGAAGCTATCTTTGTTATATTCCTTTCAACATTTTGATTAATGGGTTAGATAAGACACGGAGGCCATCTGTTGTATTTTCAGAAGTCATGAAATGGGGATATATATAAGAGATACACTGGCTAACAGAAACATGTTCCAAAATAGTTGGAATGAAGAAAGTATACCCTCAAGATTTTCATTTTAGAGGGATACAGGTAGACAACGCAAGAAAGCCCCCAACCAGTCACCCAGGAACTGGATGAGGGATCAACATAAAGTTAGCATAGCATGAGTGGGGAGGGTTTGTCAAGTTAGCTCTCTGAGAATTAGCAGGTAGAGCCTGGACGCTGGCTCATGTGAGCAGGTGCACTCCCTGGGAGCTATACTGTACTACTTACATCAGCCGATCCTTGATTAATGTTTTGAGACCCAGTGTCCATCCGCAGGAATACCAGAGTTCATACAGCTCACAGTGTCACCCTCTTTCTTGGTTCCTGTTGATCTGGTCCCCTTCATGGCCTCCCTTTTATTTTATTTTATTTTATTTTAGCCATCTTGACTTTGTTCTCACTTCTGGCACTTTTTTTTCTTAATTTTCAGTTTTGTTTCTTGTAGAGTTCAGATGTTGGTTTTGTCCCTGAGCACTCTGGTTTGATTTACTTCTTTGCCCATCTGTGTCTTGTTCGGTATCAGAAGAAACCTTCATCCTTTGTGTGACCCCTCAGTTCTCATCCCTTACATCATGCCAATCATCTTCCTGTCACAACTTGAAGAACAATTTGGCCCATACTAGAGTAATCATGCAAGTCTGGCCAACTTCTTTCTCTTCCAGGAGTGCCTATAGAAATGACATTATTAGAAACAAGGTGTGTGTGGTGTGTGTGTGTATGTGTGTATGTGTGTGATTGGTTGGTATATGTCTGTATGCAAGTGTGCACGCCCATGCATGTAAATGCGGAGGCCAGAAAAGAATGTCTCCTATCAGTTTCCACTCTGTTCTTTTGAGACACGGTCTCTCTCTGAACCCAAGCTCATCATTTTTTCTTCAACTCAGCTGGTAGCTAGCAAGCCCATCAGTCAACCTTCCTGCCTCCACTCCCATCCCAGTGCTGGGGTTATAGGTGCACTTGGCTACATTCAGCTTTGTTCCATGAACACTGTGGATCTGAACTCACATCCTACAACATGTACATCAAGCATTCTTACCCACAGAGCCATCTCCCCAGCCCCTTTCATATTTTAAATAGTTGTGAAGCCTGGAAGAACCAGGAACATCTGGAGAAGGCATGACTGTGTTTGGTAGATCTTTGTCAGAGCTAGCAGATGATCCAGTGACAAACCCCATGGGCTTCTCTTCTGTAGTTTCAAAGAGTAGCTGAAGTCCTGTGTGCTGAAGCTGTAGGGAGAAGAGGTAGGGTGATGAACGCTCTCTAGAAATGAAATGGGATGGTAGTGAGTTCCCCAACACTGGAGGTATTCAAATATAGGCTGAGCAGTGCTTTCCCAGGGAATCTGTACATCAGACCCAAATACCAAAGGGACTTAGACTTCCATCAGTGGTTGGCTCTATCCAAGGGATTCTGTGTCAGTGAGGAAGTAGGGATAATATTTGAGCAGATGGTAGGTTGATGATTTGCAAGGTGAGGTTACCTTCCTCACCCCCACAGTGAAACATCAGCCTGAATACCACTTTGTGGAGGCCACATCCCTTTCCTACCTGTAGGAAACCTCCTACCTGTAGGCTTCCCTGTGAACCTGCCCTGGTCTTGCCTGCTCTGTCAGGCTTCCGTTGTTAAGAGTATGGACCACTGTGGGCTGGCCTCCCAAACAGGAGGGGCCCAGCCCAAATCTAAAGGCTGCTCTATTTTAGTTTTTCGTCTTTGGGCATCTAGTCTCATGCTTTTCTAATTTTGTGCTTATGAAAGGGCTCTGTTCTCTCTTGGCCCCCACTCCCCGCCCCCTTTCACAGATCAAATAACAAGTGCACTGGACAGAGAGGAGCCAGAGTGAGAAAATGCATTTTAATAAAACCCCATTGATTTTTTTGTGGGTGCAAGTCAAGGAAAAGGCACCTAAAGAGTCTTCTATCGGCTGCCTCCTCCCCCTCTCTTCTGACCTAGTAGGGCACTCACACATCGATTGGTTCCCAGCTAATAGATTGTGCCACCCGGTAGGGACCTCTGGGGACTAGTGGGGAGCTGGAAGAGTCGCTCACAGCAGCCTAATCCAGAGTTAATCAAACTAGCAACAGGATCTCTGGCGCGGTGGTGGTGGTGGTGGCGGCGGCGGCAGCAGCAGTAGCAGCAGCAGCAGCAGCAGCAGCAGCAGCAGCAGCGACAGCGACGGCGGCAGCGGCAAGAGGCAAGAAGAGTAGCAGTGGCGGCAGCATTATGCGTGATTACTGACAAGCACCAGCTGCTGCGGCCGCCACGGCCTCTCAACACTATGTGGACTCTCGGATCTAGAGACAGATTCCTGACTAATCCCAGAGGGCTGGCCCAGCCTGCGCTCCCCCGGCTGCTAGCAAGCGATGGCCACTCTTGTTAGCCCAAGTTGAAGGAAGCCGGGCTGCGCCTGGGAGCCGGGAGAGGCTGTACTCTTTTAGAAGCGCGGCAGAGGAATGAACTGAACAGCAAACATGTATGGAAATTATTCCCACTTCATGAAGTTTCCCACCGGCTTTGGTGGTAAGGACCTCACTTGGGCTTCACTGTGTGAGTGGGAACCTGCCGGGGAGAGGCAGGGAGGAAACAGGATAATGTAGCTTGGAATTGGAAGGCGGGCATGTATGTTCATATGCATGTGCAGTGCGTGTTCCGCGTGTTTCGTGGGTGCTTTTCCGTGCAGAAGAGAGAATGGTCCCAAGGTGAAGGCATGTTTGCATATCAGAGGGGCCTGGGGGTATTCGGAGAGTCTAAAGGAGCGTGTTGGAGAGGGACTGAAACAAAGATAAAGAGCTTTGCTTACCCCCCCCCATGTCCTGTGGGTGTGAAAAGTGAAAGAGTGAGGGAAATTGCAAAGATCTACCTATTACTTAATTCGTAATGAGGGAAAAAAGTGATGTAAAAGGTTTTGCTTGGGCAAAAAGTGCTGGAAATACTTTACAACACGGGCAAGGTTGTTTTTACTTAAAAGCTGATTTCTCTGCAATGGGATTTTCAAAAAGGAAACATACCCCTTTAATTTGCCACCTTGCTTTCCTCCCTATGGTTCCCCCTTTTGATTTGCTAATAGCCTCTTCTCTCCTCCCCTGCTGCTGCCCCCAATTCCACAGCCAGGGTTGCTGTCATCATTTCCGCTCTAGGGGTCGAGATTTAGGGCTGGGGGTAGGGAAGGCCAGGCTCTTAGGAGACCGGACCTGCAAACTGAGGCTCTAAGTAGCCAAGCCGGGCAGGGTGGTCACTCACTCCCCAGAGAAGCTTTCAAAGGCCGAGTTCATGGACTGGCTGCCTGGCCAGGCACATCTGTCCTGAGGGCTGCTCTCCACCCCCAACACACACCTCTTAGGGACAGGAGTTGTCTGGACACCCTGTCATGTGTACATGCAACCAGCAGTCAAACCAATTGACTTCTCATGTGTCTGATGGTGGCATAGAGTTCACCAAAGTCAGAGCCCATGCTGTGTGGGTTCTGGCAGGCATGAAGCAGACAGATTTGTAAGATCTTCAGAAGTGAAGTCCCTGCTCTCTTGACTTCCTCTGTGAACAGAGCCAACTTGTCCAAAGGCCCGGGAAGAAAGTTTGTCACTTTACCAGACTGTATCCTCTGTGAGGCACTGTGACACACAGCTGTCCCTTGTTTGGAGGCTTTGGGCGAGGAGGTCTCATTCCTTCAGAATGCTTCCAGTGCCTGTGTGAGCCCAGCGGGGCCAGGAACCCAGAGGTTGAATGTGAATGGCAATGATACACTACCCTTGGCACTAGGGTAGGCTCCTTGGTTGTATACACAGTAATGCTGTACTGTGTTCAGTGGCTGAAGCATTTGATGATTGCTGATTGGGCCCAGGGACAAGGGAACATGGGAATGGGCCCAAGGTAAAGCTCCAGGTTTTTGGGACAGTTTGATGGCTGAGAGTGGTGGTCAATAATATCACCTGACATGTTGCCTCCAGGCTGTGGTCCGGCCTTCTCCACTCTCATCTCAGTCCCCTTCAGGGCTCAGAACAGCATTTTCCCCTGCTCATGAGCTTGGCTGTTTGAGGGGCATGTTTACCTCAAGGTCTGTGAGATGATGGCTTCAAAACAGAAGAAGAAAGAGGGGCTTGCACTAAGATTCCTTGGGGGCTGCTAGCTGGAACTGTGAAATGTTAGCAAGGACCATAGGGAGAGTCAGGGATGTCCCCTTTGGATAGACACCAAGCTGAGGCCTGGCAGAAGGTCGACATTAGTCCAAGATGATGAAGGGTAGAGTTGCAAAGTGCTTTCAGAAACACCTCTAACTCAAATTTAGAGTGGAATTGCTTTTACTGGATGTAGCACAGAAACACATACACATACGAACATACATACAGAAAGAGAGAGACAGGGACACAGAGAGAATGACATGCTTTGGTACTTAGCTTTTTATCATCTATCTGTGTGATCTTAGGCAAGCTTCTGAGACTCTACACCTTCATTCACATCTTCACTCTCTAAAGTGGGATTTGTAATCTCATTCTTAGATTTTTGTTTTGAGAATTAAATGAGATAGCTAGCAGATGAAAAATGTAGTGTCTGTACATTTGGTACCAAATACAAATTAGTATTTCCATCCCTCCCATTTTGCTCAGAAGCCAACATGCAAATCAATTTAAATACCAGATATTACTATAGAATAATGAATTGGGGATCTGGAAAAAATGTACAACTAAATCTGCAAAAGCCCACACATTTTTCTGGCTTCATTGTTAATAACTGTGGAGGCTCCAGTGTTTAGTGTAATTGTTATATCAGATCTGTGTAACATTGGGAAGGGTTGTTTAAATGCTTGCTTCTAGTGGTGCTTTTCATTGTCATCCCTAAGGAAGGAATGACTGCTTTTGCTTGGTTCTGTTGATGTTTTCCATTTTGTTTGCATGAGCCAATTAAGAGGAGGTCCACACTCAGCCAAAGGACCCTGCCCCTTCTGTACTAAGAATCTGCAATGCAGGAGGGGGATCCCACTGCCGGCTCAGAAAACTGAGGGCATCACCTGCACCCATAATGCCTCTGCCTTCATAATCACAGTGATAAATGACGCCTGCCTTTTCACATACCAGCAAATGGAGCCACAGAAGGTTCTGGGGTCTTGTAAGAATCTCCAGGGCAGCAATACCACTGTTGGGGAGTAGCATGCATGTCTGGGCTGTGCTTATGATGTGGCTGAAGGCCAGTTCCTACAGGGATCTGCAAAGAAAGTGCCCACTTTCTGGACTTGGAATGTGTCCTGGATAGTAGAAGTGTTTTCTCCTTCTTGGCTAAGTCTTGGGTTTGCCACCTGAACTGGGAAAAGACTTGTTTGCCCAGTATGCTTCAAGACAAAGCTTGTGATAACCCATCCCATTGTGTGGTACTCCCAGGGGAGAGAAGAGAAGGGGCAGAGGGTGAAACACCTACAAGACAGGGACCAGCAGTCAGTGTGAGTACTCTGCTGGGGTCAACCCAGCAGCAAACTGATTGCTGTTACGGTTCTTTTTGAGAAGAGTAACTGAAGGCTTTGGGAGGTAAAGGACCCTCACAAGTAGAAATGACACAGCTATCCTTTGAACCCAGGTAGTCAGGCTACAGGTCCATGCTCTGCAGATCTGACTCACAGTCTTTGAAGCCAGTGTAGTCACTTTGTAAGGACAGGGACAGCAGTCTATCTCACTCCAGCCCAGAAAAGTGGGCTGCTCACTGACTGGTTGGTGGCTGCTGGCACAGTGGCCTGGCCATTGCAAAAGAAACCGTAGAATAGCGTATGAGCAACAGTGAACTCTGGGACATTAGCTGGTGGCTTTAAGAATCTTGCCCACCTGACCTGGCTTTGACATAGAAACTGCCCCCTTTCAGGTTGAGAATAGCCATGGAGGAGAGTCAAGCTAGCAGCATTTGTGTACGTATGTATACACACGTGTGTATTTTCCAGAACACATTTTTCCCTCCACAGATGTGTGGGTGGTGAATTGAAAGTTACCATGGGCATAAGTGGTTAGGGTTTGTGTAGGAAGAAATAACTGTTTATGAGATGTAGGAAGGAACATATTTAGGATAAACTTTTCTGAAACATTTACAACGTTACAAAGAGGTAGATTGATCAGTAGCAGCCAAGAGAAGAAACTATGCAAAGAGAATCTTTCACTTCCCCCAAAGACGAAGTCTGTTGAGCGCTGTGCCTCTAGCCCTGGGTGTATGATGTCAATGCTACTGAAGGGAGCTGCTGTGTTCTCCTCTGGTGCGAAAGTGGGTGACACAGAGTTCAGGAAATGGAAGGCATTTACTTTTTGGAATTCCTGGGCTTGGGTGGCTCTCATGAGATGGACCCCATCCTAGCTTAGTCATCCTCACGAGAGTAGAGAGTGAGAGGAATCAGTATTTACGTGGAACCTGTGTGTGCCAAGCACTCTTTGGGCCACTACATGGATGTGTCATGTTCTCTGGGGTCCTTGGAGGTAAGATACTATTAACATTTCCCCCATTTTACAGACAGGAAAGCAGAACCCTAGAGAGCTTGAGCAAACTATCCAAGGTCATGGCTGCCAGCAAGGAGTAGAGTCTAGGCAGGATCTAAGTCTACCAGGGCCGCTGAGCTTACCTTTATACTGTGTGGCCACACCCAGGGCTAGAGGGAGGGTCGGGTAGGAGTTAGGAAAGAGTCCCAGAAATGAAATGGATGAGTTATTTGTAAGAACAACTTACACAGCTATTTTTCCTTATATTATTTACAACTTACTATGGTTCATAGCACTTACTTTTTCTCTTTTGAATCATTGTAGCAAAAGAATAAAATTTCTTAGGGAGGGAGGAGGCAGGCGACAAAACAAAGGCTATTTTTTTCTCCTAGGTGGGTCACATTTTATTTTAATATGTGCAGGTGTTTTCCATTCTGGGGCAGGGGTGGGCTGGACAGGGAGCAGCGTACACTTTTGCAGGCCACACCGAGTCCATGAGAAGTGCTCGAATGAATCCTGGTAGTGAGAAGCAGCCATAGCAATGGCTGTGCTCCAGCAAGGCTGATGGTCCCCAGGGCATTCCTCTGGAGAAGTTTTATTACCATTTCTGATTGCTCTTCTGTTAGTTGAGATTCCCAACACCCTGCCTGCAAAACACTTTTCTTCTGGTTTCTCCGCTTCAGAGCTGAGCTCTCATAATGGAACAGCATCCCTTAGGCTCTGTCCTGACTGTCCAGTGGCTGTTGGAGATGCTTAGAGAAGCACATGCAGCTTGGCCAGGATGCAGGGATGGACGTCATCTTCAAACTCATTTTCGCAGCTCCATTGGGGGCAACTCTGAGTGGGCAGGAAGAGGACTGGGGGCAGCTAAACCACAGGGTCCCCCCCTTCCCTACTATCATCCACTTTGAGTAAGCAGTGACCTACAGCTGTAGGGGTTAGACTTTTTTAGCATGGAAATTTACAAATACTCTAAAGAAGTCTGTTCCCTCTTTCCACACAACACTTGGAGAATGAGCATTAAATGTGACTGGAATTCTGTATGTACCTCCCCCCACCTCCCTTAGAAGAGGGGTATCT